CCTCATTGGTTGTTAACAGCCTTCTTCAAACTAGCCCTTGACAAAAATTAAAAGATTCTAATGCAGTACAATTGGGCTGTACGCTTAACACTCAAATAAATAAAACATGTCCCTAAGTATAATAATCTTCTTCAACTACAGGCAGAGCAGTTCCAAAAAACTTCCGGATTTTATTTTATCTTAAACTTTCTTACAATGTTGTAAAAATAAATTCATGTAAGTGAATAAGGATAACCCAAGAACCACATTCGTATATAAAATTGTCTTTAAGAGGCCAGTAATACAATGTGTTCTCATTAGTGTTGCACTGAGAGCACACCTCACCAAATGCCCATTCAAAGACCAGCAAACTGGTATCAGTCAAATCAGCAGACCTCCTTCCCTTACTACTTATGCTTATAACCAAGGAACACGGAATTTAACTTGCTGTTCCATTGAAGGGTTACAAATACAGACTGAAAAAGTAAATTAACCCTCTGTGGAGAGGGCAATTCTGAAAATAAAACGGTGCTTTAGAAAACTATTTTCTGAGATCAAGCTTGAAGAATAATAGTGCTAAATATTCTACTTAAGTTTGAAAACTCAAAGCACCCTTAGTTAAAACATTATACTCCTGTGACAGCTTACACTAATGGGTATGGCAGCTTGGCAGAGTATTGTTTATGAATATAATACATACATAGTGCTGGGTTTAATATTTTATTTGAATGACGTTTAATGTTATGCAAAATAAATCATTATGTTACATCCACTGTGACATCAACTAATATGTGAACTAGTTTGCATAGGTTAGTACTTTGGGCAGCATGATGTTGCTCTAGTCCACCAAGGCTTAAATATTCACAGTGTAGAGGAAGAAACAGGAATTAAAGCATTTCTACTAAAATATATTTTAATAGCTGGTGTTAACTTCCTGCATAACAAAAGCCAAATTAAGATGATACATCATATGATCCAAGAGTAAGTTCATCTGTCCTTTGAAAAACAATTGTTACCTTCATAACTGTATACTCCCAAATTACAGTACAGTTTTGCAAAATAACTAAAACTTTACACACTTTAAAGCAAACATAAGCCAAACTGCACAGCGGTTCATTTTTGCTTTTTATATCACACTGCAAAAACCAACAGCTGAGAGAGTTTCCACATCATGCTAATCAGTGTCAATACAGTCATTGCTGTCCTCCAATGGCCTAGCAGTTTCTAATAGTAATATTAAATACAACATGATTGAAATGCTACAGTATAGCTTATTTTCTCCCCTAAAATAATAATAATAATTAAACAAATGTCAACAACAACTGGATTACAACTTAAGTACAATATGCAAATTCTATTCATCAGACACAAGAAGCATATGAAATTCCTTTGAATATACTGTTGTAGTGCAGGCAGTTTAGGAAATATAGCTTTCAGGTTTTCCTTCAAAAGGAGAGATGGGGTTCCTATGGCATAAAGCTGGAGAAAATCACTAAAGCATTGCTGAATGGTTTATTCTTCTACAGCTCACCATTACTTTGCATTTGCCAGCACATCAGTTTGGAGATCTTCTTTCAACAGCGTCTTTTGTCTGTTTCAGTATATTATTTAAACATTTACTAACTAAAGCATATCCTGTAATTTAAATGGAGTATTAATCAACATAATTAAAATCTAACATTTTATACCCTGTACCACTTTCTGCCAAAGAGCTCGGTATTTGTCATTTCTTTTTCATTGTACAAGATGACATGCAGTCACCCTACAATAAAAACTAGAATTATTACCTTTTCCAAGTATTGGAGACCTTCCATACCCCCAAGGAACACTCAGTAGGGACACATTTGTCAAAAATATCATCCATGGGAGGTGATTCCCTGTCAAATCCCAATCTGCTGAAGTGGTTTATGGTATGTCAAATGTAATCAAGAAAACCCTGTTTCATCAAGATTAAATGCTAATGTTCCATAATGAAAAATTACAACTGCAGTATCTGTAAGTAGCTTTGTTTAGAAAATGAAGACTAGCCAGGCAAGAAAGAGTAATGAAAAGCAAGGCACCCATTTGTTCTTGTACATATGTATGAATATGCTCTATGTTGTTTCTCACGTTTGTACTCATGTTAGCAAGAATTATAGCACACTGTATCTTCTTTATTTCTAGAATGCTTAAAATGGGAATGTGTGAACTTCCAACCTGAACTTTGGAACATCTTGGGAAATTTTGCTCCCTAAAAGTCTTTTCCTTTCCCCAGAAAAACGTTGTCTACAGGAAGGAAGTACAGTGAGGGGAACATGCTGTGTTAAAAAGGAATATATACTTTAAAGGTGACAAGACAGCATATAACATCTGTTCACCCCTATATCCCACTGCATGTAACAGGCTCCAACATGTGTCTTGTAAAACCTGTGCTGACACAATTTAGTGCTAGCTGACTTACCCCACCTTACAGATTTTAGATCTTAAAAAACATTTTTATAAGTGCACTCTGATAATCTCGGGCCTCTGATAGCACTGTTTAGAACAAAGCTGCATAACGTCACTAAAGTTTGTTTTATATCAAAAAGCAGAACCATTCCATATGAACACAAATTATTAAGCATATACAACATAAAAACCTGACTACATGAATGTGTAACTTAAAACAGACCTTAATTCTGCCGACATAGCATTTTCAACAGAAATACAATTCAAATACTGTTTTGTTTTCTTGATCATTTTTATTTTGCACATTGCTTTAGCTGCTTTGCCAAGCTAATGAATATCAAAATTCATAAAGGAAATTTTAGTTCCATTCTCTAGCAAAACATAGCCCTCTAATGTCATCAAATGCTCATTTTCTGATTTACTTTTCACTATACATACAGTGTTCAACACTGCAAACTGTCTCCTCACATAGAAAGAATGCTAGTGTATTTATAGGTGGAGACTTTCTTTTTTATAAGTCATTAAAAATTGCAATTAGCAACGATAGCCAATTCTGCCTCAGGAATCATCAGAAAAATTTGTCAGCCATCTCCTTTTTTGTTGATGGCTGGTGATGAAAACCAACAGAGAAGCAGACTGCTTGTTTCAGAGCTTCTAGCTCAGCTTACCACAACGGCCTTTTGAAAAAGCCATTTGACTTGCAAAGTTTGCTAATTTAACGTGCAAGTCACCAGTAATGCATAAGGGTCTGTTGCAGCAGCAGCTCTATATGCAAAACTTTCAAGAGTTTTAAATCAGGCAGCTGACAAGAAAGCACAGGCAATTCCACAGTCGTGGACATTTTTTAATTACTTTTTTTGAATGCACACATTCCATCCTGTTCGGCAGCTGGGATCAGCCCCATGTTAGCAACACCTAAAAAAAATCACCTAAGCTATCTGATTCCTAATGGTATGCAAAAATAGACCTAGCAGGTATTTGCATTGACAACTTTCAGTTGACATAACAAATCCATACTGCTTTCCTTCTTTATTCTTTAAATAGATATTGCAGGCTTGCTTACTTTGTGAAATGAGAAATACAAAATTGTCTGTAAACTCTCTATTTAATTCTACTTTAAAAATTTCAGAAATGAAGAAAGCCAGCGCAGGCTCAAATTCTGAGAGCTACTCCAAAATTAACCTCTCTAGCACGTGGCTGAAATTACATTATCAGCAAACCAATTCTCATTTTCTTCCTTACACATGTATGCGTCCACATGAGTAAGTTCCCACTTGAATTTTTAACTCTTTTTCCTTCCTCCTGGAGTTTCTTCCTGGGAGGGAATGTGGTGCTCTCCTGCCACCCAAAGTAAAAGCAACTTCCCTGGGACCCCATCCTGCTGACACAGTCCCTCTTGCAGGTCCATCGTGTCACCAGGCATCTGATCCTCTCCTCCGCCTCGCAGGCTGAGACCTGCATCCTTCAGTTCTGACCCTAACTTAGGGGACAGCAAATAACATGTGTGAAGGTTTGCCAGCCAAACATTTTCACTGTGTTCTACGGATGGCTAAACTGAAGCACGATGGCATAGAGTGTGTCGGGCTACTGTTTGGTTAGCTTTCCCTTCGGCGTCAGTAAAAGAAAGCGTAATATTTCTCCATCGTTAATCATTTGGCAAGCTTACAACCCACCGCCGGATCAACCAAGATTTTGGGAGGAAACTAAAGCAACAGGCCATTGAGCTGAAATGCACTACCATAACCAGAGCTCTCCTCTGCTCCTCGATGGAGGTGTCTTTGCAGCGGGGGGAGGTACATCAGCTCATCAGCAAAGCAGCCATGAAGCGCGTTACCTGTGGTAAGGAGGAGGGACGTGAGGGTAGGCCTCGTGTGACTGCACAGCACTGGGGCCTCACGCGGGGTATTTATTTACAGCAGCACAGCAGAAGGTAAAGGAACTAATATGAAGTATTGGTTGTACACTGCCCTAATGGAAGCTTCTATTTAAATGCTAACTATTATTAGAAGGAAACAGAAGAGTTTCTGTTGACTAGATAGTCTTTGCAAGGAATTTTCTGTGGAAAAGATACCGAAGAACTAGGAATCCAGGCATGGATCTAACTGATGGACCGGGCTGCAAGCAAAGCTGATAGAAGAGGTCACTGTTGGAAATCAGAGAAAATGAGCAATCCAGGAATAAACAATGCGGGCTTCCAAGAGTCAGGAAATTTTTGCTGTCAAAATAGACCTATTTGCTGTAAGGCTGCTGGAGAGTTGGGGGGTGTTATTTTTTTTTGGTGTTTTTTTTTTTTACTAGCATATTACTTGTCATGATTTCAAATGATTGAATTATCTGCTCAACGTTTTTGTTTTTATTAGGATGCTAACTGCTAAAACATTAAACATCTCCCTAATAATTTGAAGATGTGTTCAAACACAGTGTGTTAACCTCCTGTAACTTCAGAGTGCCATAAGAAGTGAATCAATTTTATGGTTGTTATTATAAAGAGAAATAATGTCTTTGAGGTGTAGGGAAAAGTTATTTTCCCTTTATAGCTAATTGATTGAAATCTTTATAGGATTGGCAGCACCGACCTTCCATATATGTTTTTTATTTTGAGGGAGCACTATTATAAACAATGCCATTTCAAAGCTCTGAGCTTCTTGTTGATTCTTTACTTTAAAGGACTCTAAATTGGATTCTGAGTGAGAATGCAGACTGTTATAGCAGTGATAAAGTAATGAACATGTACTCTGAAAAGATTCCTCTGACTTTTTCTAAAAGGTTAGATTTTGAGTAAATCATAAAGCTCAAAGGACTTAGAGACAAAAATTAGTTAACAAACTCAATATAATTTGCTGGAAGCATTCCTGTTTTCCCAGTTCTCTGAACAGTACCATACATCCAGCCATCATCAATTGGTTGCACATTGATGATATAATCACCATCCCTGAAGGAAACTTCATCTTCATCTTGAGCACTGTAGTCATACATAGCTCTGTATGTTCTCTGTTGAAGGAAAGAAAACAAAGCTGTAAAGTCTCAAGCCTAAACAGAGATAGATTCCTTTTCTTTTTTGCACAAAGAAAATGAAAAGAGCAGGAATTAGGAAACAGGGAGCAAGTCAGAGAGAGAAAACACAAGCTACCTACTGAAAAGAAACAGTACACCCTCCACCCTGTCAAATATACAATGACACAACCCCTTTTTCTGAGTACCAAAATAATTATTTTTGTGAACCTACATTGCCCAAAGTTCTCATACAAACAGATTTCAAGTCATTCACTGCCTCTTGAAATATTCCAACTGTTGTTTCGTATCTTCACTAGTAACAGTTCATTACATCCAGCCATGACTAGCTGTGCTTCTGCTCCTTATTTGCATGATTCCCAAATAGCTTTTCCTGTGTCTTCACACAGAAAAGAAATACAGTCTTTGTCCAGGTCATTAACTTTCACATCTCACTGAATGTCCTTCATTTCATTAGGAATTTAGCCCAAATTAGGAGTATATCATTATCTAATGAAAAAAAAGACAAGATTTCCAAAAGTCTGCAAAAATAATTTTAATGAATACTCATTTTTGCATATTCAGATAAAAGATTGCTTTAAACAGAACACAATGTCCTGTAATTAGCTAAGCCAAATTTCTCTACACCTCTGTCCACTGTAGGCCAAGATTTCCATTTTCTTTCTAAAGAGAGTATTTATTCCCACTCATAACAAATAAAGTGCTATCATTTACTGGAATTCAAAGTGGATTTTCAAACTCAGAGGGAACAGTCTCCCCTTGTATTTTAACAGCAGAACAAAACCACCTCATTCAATAATTCCCAGCAGTACTTTGTTTTCCTTATCCTGTCTCAACAGAAGTCAAGAGCAGTTCAAGCATCAATGATAATATCCAATTTCCCTACCTGTAACTTTTGATACATCACCATATCTAGCTGAATTTTTCTGGTACAATGGTTTACAAAGAAAAAAGGAAAAACCAGTCAACGTTTGAGTTAATGCCTAGTACTATTGTCTGAACCTGTTCAGATACAGCAAACTTTGTTCTGCTTCCCAGCTGAGGAAAAAAACTCTAAGTTTTAGTCCATTTTATATGGGTTTTTTTGAGGGTTTTTTAATGAAACTATTTTCAGAAAAGATGGAGATTCCTCCACACACAGTGAGTAGGCCATGTGTCACATTGGAAATATGGGGTCATCTAATCCAAACACTATATGGAAATGCATTATTACTGCACCCATGCTAGAAATTCACTTTTTGTCTTGATTCTGCCTTTCTCATTGGTAGTGAAGATTAAACACTCCAGAGAGATCAACTCCTGGTTAAACACTGGAGACCACTACCTTTCCTGACAAGTCTACTCTGTACCGTATTTGAATGTTGCTCTGTATAACTGTTCTCTGCCACGCTTTCTAATGTTGCTGCCCTCCAGGCTCTGACCAAGAGTGATTAGCAAACAGAGGTATGTGGTTTCTTGGTGGTTCCTTAATGTCTTCCAAGTGTTTATGGAAGTGATGAAAAAAAAACCATCGTGGTTTATGCACTACACCAAAGCAACTAATCGGGAGGATTCTATCATCACCAAAAAATTCCTTAAAGATTCACAAACTAGAAAACTAACCCTTGGAAGTTCTTAAGGAATGGTCTCTGCCTTTGAGACTCTTTCTTCCATCTATTTCAATTGATCTCTACACTGAGCCTTGAAAATAACTCCAAAAAAACAGTGAAAAAGCTGCTATTACTGCTTAGCAGCAGTTAGTCCTTTAAACAATTTATTTTTAAAAAATGTCCATTTAAGAAAAATGGTAGCAAGTCCAAGTGTCATAATGCAGAGAATGGATTTTCCTCTGAGCCGTGCTTATATGTCTCCCTTAAATGGGCAAAGACTAGGGGAAGAGATTAAATGTTCTATTAAACTAACATATAATTGCGAAAAAAGAGAAGTTTTTGCTCACCCAGAAGGATGCTCACTCATCCTTAGAACACCATGGTACAGGACACACTACTGCTGTCTCCTTTAAGGCAACTTGACTACATCACTGTGGTGGCACAGTTGTGGAGACAAGCTGGTAATTTCAAACTTTAAAAAAAATTTATTAGGGCCCTAAATGCTGCTGAGAAACCTAAATTTATGGCCTTAACACCTAATTAGGTGCTAAATGGCTGTCAGGAGAAATCTCCATAATAATCCTGTTAGCATTTAATGCCTAATTATCACTTCAGAGTGTAGTCTGGGCTATATAATTGAGAATTACAATGCTTAAAGGACTGAAAGCAGGGATTTTTAAAATGCATTTTAGTGAATTATTCCTCTGTCAGTCGTGAGTTTGGCAGGTACTGAGTGTACAAGGGGCTATAAGAAAAGGTTGGGGTTTTCTAAAACAGTCAAATACTCACCCATCTCCCACCTCCTCAAAGGTCTAACTAACTTGCAGGTACCTTACTCAGACAGAATGGTAAGTCTTGTGGGTATGAAGAATTAAAGCCCAGCTGTCATATTCCCAGCTCCCCAGCCAGGTGTGAGCTGACAGATGCACATTTCCACTTCACCCACCAGTTCATACTTATTCTATGGATCGCTCCTTGCAAGGAGTGGTACCTGTTGCAGTGTCCTTCCCATACAACAGCTAGCCAGGAAAGCCAACTTGCAACCTAGATTTTGTTTTCCTGCCACTTCTAGTTACCTAAAGGCCTGAGAACAGCCTCTGTTATTTTCCAAAGAGGCACACAGCCTTCAGGGGTCTGTTATGAAACATTCTGTACTCAGAATACCCATTATGCAGAACTGCTCATAGGAAGTGAGTAGAAGTTAAGAATCAGAAAACAATGCAATTTATAAGGAGAGAAAAAAAAAAATCTACCCAAAGTCTGTATTAGAATCATGCCTGATACAAACCACACCCAGCTCAAAATTAAATAAACCAAAATTTAGAAATTAAAATATTTCTATTTCCCAATATAAGACATTGGTGGATGTGATAATAAAATGAACCTATGTCTTTTGGGGACCCTAATTTGATAACAGTGCAACAAACCAGCTGAAAGGAGTAGGTTTTACTACAGCAGCTAACTCTCCAGTCACCCCCACCCTGATATAACCCATGGGATCTGACTCTCTCACCCTCGAGATGTCCTGGCCAAACTCAGGTGCTGATGGGTGACTTCACCTTTATTGCTTTTCGTTAAGTCTGAAAACCTGCTTGTGCTTTGAGATCCGTATTCAGGCAAGGATTTCTTACTGCCAGTCTCCTCCCCCTCTTTCTTTCTTCTCCCCTCTGCCTCTGAAAGCAGCTGAAAGCAACGAATCTAACATTGCGTAAATTTGTCAGATCTCCTAGGGCACGTCCGTACTGCGTTTTAAAAGCACTCGGAGACTGCCATCAACCTCCAGCCTGTGCAAAGTCACTACATTTAAACACATCCCCAACCAGGTATCACCCCAGTAGCTGAGTGTAACATGCCCAGCACACCTGGGTAGAGCTGCACAGCCCAGAGAAAAGAGAGTCTTTTGATGAGGATGTGGAAAGACAAGGGAGCGTGCCAGGTTCCTAGCTGTGTCCAAGATGCTTCTTTTGGAGCCGAATCATCACCCTGGGGGTAATAAGACCACACTCTACCTTCCTCACCAGACTGGCAAGTTAGCAGTCAGCACCAGACCAGCAGTCCTTGTTTTTCTCCCTCTGGAACTGTCTGGGGTTTATTGTCTTCAAGGAAACCCACACAGTTTTCAACCAACCAGATCTTTCCCAACCAGGAAGTTTGCTGTTTCCTGTTTTTTCCCCCCATGATAAACAGCTATTATCACTTAAAAGAATGTCAAATGACAACAGTTTCACAAAAGGGATAAGAAATCCTGTTGAAAGGAGGCACTGAGTCAATTCTTCACTTTTAAAATTCTTTAACATCACTCTCTTCCATTTCCTATTACCTTTGCAATTCCCAATTCTGGAAGGAGAGGAAAATGATGATTCTCAAGATGACTGAAATTATATTGCTTCAACAGGCAGCCCACCAGGTAGATCACTGGGAGGTAGAGATATTGTGGAAATGGTAGCCAGCTACCTGCCCACATAGCTGAGAAGGCTGCTACATGCATTTTGAGATTTGCAGGCATCTCTAATCTCCACCTCCTGGACTTGAAGACTGTTTGCTTTGCTCCCCAGTGACTAGCAAATCTGCTGGCAAAGCCCAGACTTCCAGGTCTCCCAATTTTTGGAGTCTGTCCCTTTGGGAAAGCAGCCAGCTCTCCAAATGCCTTGCAATATCCTTGGAAATTACTGGTAGATTCCAGTATGGGCTGCCTCACAGCTGTCATGCAGGTCTCCAGAGAGTTTCTCAGGTTGTTGGCTCACCCAAAGATAAAGGTATCTGGATCCCAGACTTCCCAGCAAGTTAGCCCTCTCAGCCCCCAAGCAGCTGAGAAACCAGCAAGCCTGAAAGTACCCAAACCTCACAGAATGTCATGATCTTTAGAGTATAAAATGCCATGGAGTTTCAGTCTTAAAGAAAAACACAAATTTCAGCTAATCTTGAAAGCAGTTTTTTTCCAGTTCAGCAAGATCTAAGTTTGGTTCATAATAAAATACTTCCTCATCTCTAAAAAAGGTGACAGAGATACTAAATATACATCTGTTCAAAATAGATTAAAATTCAAAATTACAAGTCAATATTTTTAAGTTAAAAGGTGACTGGATCTGAACTACAAAATCTCTAGGCAGTGATATATGAGAAAAAAAAAGATAACCATAAAATCAAACTTTATTAGAGTTCAAAAAGATAAAAGAAGCTCAATTTCCTAAAAATCCAAGCTGAATAGACATTTGGCTCTCCTTCCATGACCAGTTACTTCTAAAATGAAATATTCACTCCAGCTTTACATTGTCATTCACCACAATTAAGAACTTCATGACTGGGGTCACTTCCTCTCAGTTGCCCAGCAGTATAACTCAATTTGGATCAGGCACGAGTGGGTGCATGACTGTTCTGGTGAATTAGAAAGGGCACACCAATACAGAGCCTGAGCCAGCTTTATACAAGCAGAGATGAGTAATACAGATAGGGAAAAAGCCTGCTAGTACAAAATCAACACGTCAAAAAATCTGAAACAAATTTAAACCAACAGGGTGATCTTAAGAAATCAGTGGTTTTCAGTTTTCATCCAACACTACGAGCCTGAATTCATCACAGAGCATAATATCAAAGCTCAACCTGTAAAATACTGTCCAAGCGTTTACTACTTGTTTTAAGCAGGTAGAAGAGTCAGTTATTTCTCTACCTTCTGGAGATCATAAATGATATTTTTTTTTAATGCTTTCTAACATAAAAGTCCTTGCCATTGCCCTCAGTCACTTAATCTTTTTTATATACAAGGACTGTCACATTTAGGACAGTCAAATAGTCCAACTATAGAACTCAAGAGGACCAATTCACTCATGTTTAAGAGATTTCACAATAGCTGATTATGTTGCTTACCAAAGAAAAGCATTCTTTTAAATCTAGTACTCACCAGACTTGCTGAATGAGGCTGTGAATGCATGGATCTCATGGATGACATACTGGTCTGGTGCATGTATCCATATCCTTGGGACTGACTTTGCTGATATGCCCCAGGGAGAACAGGGGCTGTGTGTTAAAGAAATACAGACACATTAATTAACTTTTAAAAAAAGCTCTTATCTAGCATTGTGTAGAAACTGTAGATTACTTGCATTGTAAATAACCATTCCTCGGTATGAAACAGTTCAGAATTATTTCCATTCATAACATAAGGCTTTTCATAGACTGAATTACACATAAATGTAGCCAAAACTGTAGCAATATATCCACAAACACTATCAAGGTTAGTTGGAAGGAAAAGCTTAACATACCTTAGGACCATAGAAAAGGTGTATGAAAGCTTGAGACACCACAAACTCAATTTTGATACTGCCACAGATGATGCACTAAATATCATGTGCCATAAACTGCCAATTTTTAAGGTAAGATTGATGAAAAACGCTATATATCAATATAGTTTTGAAATGTTTCAGTAGAAATTCTCTGCAATTAATTTTTAACTCGTTGCAAACTCTTGGCCATGAACAAAGAAGGACTGCGATTCACAGGAAGAGACAGAAATGTGAAAAAGTGAGCCCACAGCTGTGTTTCTCAGTTTATTCTGATTCAATCAGCATTCTTAGCCGAACACAGACAGATCAATAGTTACTTAAATATTTCCAAGTCCACTTTTTTCAGTATCTTCCTCTTACCACACAATTGTTCCATCTCTTTCACACATATTCTAGTCACATTATTTTAACAGTTACATTACTTTAATGATCCTGTATGCTAATCATTAATATGTTGACTTCTATTGTACCAAAAGCTGCTGAAAGATTTAATACAACCAACAAGGCCTCCCTACCTCTACTGCTTACTAGAAAGCACTCACAAAATTTCCATATCGGCTCAAACACCTTAATTCAGCAACACATTGAAACAGAATGAGTTAAAAACACAGTTGCTCAAAAATCTGTGAGAAATAAGCACCGCATAAGTGACGACTCACTATTTTCCTAGTAAGCCCAATAAGTATTTTTAAAGCAAAATTAAGAGACTAAAGTGGTTTTCAATATCTAAAGATTAGAAGTTTAGTCACCACATATTTGTGCATGTTTTACACTCTGAGAATAAAGACTTCTGGCTTGTATGGGAGGTCATTAGCCCATCTCCACTGTTATTTACCAGAATTTTACTAGTTTAACTGGAAATTCATTTAGCTGCACTGGAAAGAAAATGCATTTCCATTGATACTTTTTCAAGTGGTCCATTTAGCTGGTATTCTATCTAACTCTGACAAAAGCCAGCTTTCTCTTGCAGGGGATGGAGCCCATGAAGCCCATGAGCCAAAAACCTTCAAATATGGAGTCATTTAGCAGTCCGAAACTTTCTCAGATACATCTCTTGGGCTTGCTGGGAAGTAAGAACCACTTCTGGAGCAGCCATCACACACAGATTCAAAAAGGAGGCAAAGCTAATGTAGGATTCATAGGGTTCACAATGTATGGAAGGACCCAGGGCTTGTAAAATGAAAAAACATGGGAGAAGCAGGAAGCCTCCATTTAAAGAAAAAAAAAAGCATTCATATTTGCAGTAACAATACAAGAAATTGTTTGCTGAACTATTTAAGAAAAAAAAAAAAGTCAACCTTCTGTTTTCAGCAAGGTGTTTTACCAATCCTACTAACAAAATCCAGCTAACAAAATTCCCAAATAACAAAATAATTTATTTCAACAAAAGTTCTTAAAATTTCTTCTTGGCTAGTACATTCAAATGCTCTAAGCATGTAATTACAACTTGGGATGTTACTTTTTGCTGCACTATACTTGAAAAGTAACACTGGATATTCAGCCAGGGTTTTTCTGATTTAGAAAACACGTTTCAAACTATTGTAATGAATAGATTGCTCTGTTAAGTGAGTGAAATTAAAGTGATACACAGTCAGATGCAACACTGGAACACGATGAATAATGGATGTTTTAGAAGCGCCAAGTTCATTCTAATGACATATGAGTACAAAGACATTTTAAAGCAGTTTAATCACCAGAGAATTGCTGCTCGTTAACATGTTCACAGGATTATCATGCATTAAGTGAATAGTCCTAAGTACTTCATCAAATAATTTATGTTTCAGTGTTGATACAAGCTATTGCTACATGTCCAGATGTAGCGCTTCATGAGAATATAGAAAAAAAACATAATTTAATCAAAGGTTTTGCGAACAAGCTGGAATGAATATATTTTGCCTAATTCACCACCAGCATAAACGCAGGTCAGTTCACAGAAGCCAACGGAGTCTCATCTCTTCATAACAGCAGTAAATCTGTTATGTTGGTTGAAAATCGAGGACAGCTTGAACTTTTTAACTGCATAAGAAGTAGTATCTTAGGCTGACATTGGTCACTGATCAGTCAGCTGCTCTGCAGCCACAAAAGGCTGGTAGTTTTTCCCTGGTCCCTGGCAGGAGCAGACACCCTGAAAGTCCCTTTCTTCTTCCCAAGACAAGGGAAGAAGCTGGTAGAAACTTTTTGCTCTTGATTCCTTCTCCTCAAAACAGATCTTTCTCAATTCCTACCAATCATCCCTTGTCAGCATAAGGCAGCAAGCCTACTGATGGTTGGCGTCTTTAGAGCCTCCAAACCGACAGGCTCAGTTTGGGGACAATAACCCATGGCTCCTGCCTCAGTGACAACTGTCAGCAGCAGGTCTGAGACGTGCTTTCTTGGTTTGCAGTCAGCTTCTCACAAGCTGAGAGAAGCCCATCAAACTGTCTCAGCAAACCTGTTTGCTAATTTACCTGCAACAATGGAAAACCTAAGCCCAGGAAAATAAAACATTTCTTCCAAAGCAGGAGAAAATTAGGGAAGTGTTAGAAGCATTCAAAAAAGATTCTACACACAGAATTAGGGAATTTCTAGGATAAGCTTTGCTAATTATCTTCTAGTCCTTTAATTAAGTATCATATATACGAGCACATATCAGTGCTGGAGACACTGGATTGAGTAATTTCACCTTTTTTTTTTAAAAAAAAAAACTCCCCAGTTCAAGAGAGACAGGGAACTGCTGGAGAGAGTCCAGTGTAGGGCAACAGAGATGATGGAGGGATTGGAGCATCTCCCTGATGAGGAGAGGCTGAGAGAGCTGGGGCTCTTTAGTCTGGAAAAGAGAAGGCGGAGGGGAGACCTTATCAATGCCTACAAGTATCTCAAGGGCGGGCTGAGGGAGGCGGGAACCAGACTCTTTTCAGTAGTTGCCAGTGAGAGGACGAGGGGCAACGGGCACAAGTTGGAACATAAAGGGATCCACTTGAATATGAGGAAGAACTTCTTCACAGTGAGGGTGACGGAGCCCTGGGACAGGCTGCCCAGGGAGGGTGTGGAGTCCCCTTCCTTGGAGATTTTCAAGACCTGCCTTGATGCTCCTGAGTAACATGCTCTGACAAGCTCTGGGCAATCCTGCTTCAGCAGGGGAGTTGGACTAGATGATCTCTATGGTCCCTTCCAACTCTAAAAATTCAGTGAAATTCAGCGTAGCTCTAGAGCACACTTCTGGGGTACCAGGGTACACCCCACGTGTTGTTCATGTGGATGAGTCACTGCCCGGACTGCACAAACCCCTTGACCACTTCCCAATCCAAGTTACAAGAACACAGCTAAGGAAATACAGCCCCAGGGTGAACTCTTATTGCTGTGCTGAAGCTGTTGAAAAATAACAACCGATCCCTCTTTTAAGCCTTCTCCAGAAAGTGTCACAGAGGTTACAAACTCTGACTCAGCATTTTATTTTTCATTTTTTATCACTTTCCCAAGATGTTGGCTGCTGCTCCCCATTGTTAAAATATTTAAAGGGATTTGGGTTGGAAAAGACTTCTAGGAGTAATAGAGTCTGCCCTCCATTTTAAACCAGGGCCAAATTTGTAGTTAGGCTGTTTTTTTCAGGCCTTGTCCTGTCAGTTTTGAGTTCGGGATGGAGTTTTCACTACATCTCTTTGGGTAACCACAAACCCTATCACTCCTCCTTTTTATTTCTTTTACATTGCATATTCCTACAAGCTTTTGAGATGAGCTCAGTCCAGCATTGTGTTATCCATACAATCACCTTGAGAAACAGTTTTAAGGAGAGATTTGAAGAAGGTTAACACATGAATTCTGCAGAAGTTCACATCCTGCCCAAGCAGGACAAATGGAACATAATTGTTGTCAACCAAGAATTTAATGAACGTTTTAAAGAAGGCTTGTATCACAGGCTGACCAGAAACCAGAATCTTGATACTTTGGCAGCAAGTAAGGCAGAATAGATATGATGAGGCTAGGATGTGAAAGACATAAAAAGAGAAGTAACTTGACTGCTATGACAGATGAGCTTTTAGAAAGCTTTTAAAGATGACATGCAAAACATCATTCTTTGCTAAAGTTAAAGAGTGTTGGAAAAACTCAGCAGGAGTCACGAGGTGATATGTCTCAAAGAGGCAGTCCATCCCTGATTCCCACTGCATATCTGGGGCTGATGCTCTATGAGCTGGCTGAGGCAATCTAACGCTCCTACCACCCTTCCTTTCCTCTCAGCTAGGTTGTTTTTCTGCTGGTTTGGTGGGATAAGTCAGCTCAGCAAGGGATCAGACCAGTGACAGATGCGGTGCAAGGAAGGAGGCAGGACCAGGTACCCAAGGCCACAGGCAGCAGAAAGCAGCAAACCATGAGATCAGCTCAGCTCTCCCAAGGTATAACCCACACCCCCACCCACCTCACTTCTGTGCAAGCTCCCTCTGAGTTCAAACCACAAAAGAGCTGGGCCTATCACAGATGCTTCCCTCCAGATGTCCCATCCTCCAGCTCCAAACAACACATCCCACGTAATGCAGAAGGTTCCTGTGCACCAGCATGGGGCATGCACTGCTCAACTACTTGCCTGGTAGGTCTCCTTTTAACTTCATAAGAAGTAGTATCTTAAGCTTGCATTGGCCACTGATCAGTCAGCTGCTCTGCAGCCACAAAAGGCTGGTAGTTTTTCCCTGGTCCCTGGCAGGAGCAGACACCCTGAAAGTCCCTTTCTTCTTCCCAAGACAAGGGAAGAAGCTGGTAGAA